CCCCAAAACCCCAAAACCCCAAAACCCCAAAACCCCAAAACCCCAAAACCCCAAAACCCCTTTTATTTACCTTTATATTGAATTTTTAACAGCTGCTAGTTTCGTGAAGTATATATTTATTAGAATTCGAAAGACTTTGGGGTACCACTGATTGCTTCCTTTTCGTTGAATTCAATTTCCCATGGATTCTTGTTCTGGGCTTGAGCTTGTCTCATTCTCTCAAGTTCCATTCTTTGCATTTGTTCTTGCATCATTTGTTGTTTCTTCATCATGACTGCTTGAAGGACGACTGAGACTCCTTCAATGAGGCATAGAATTCCACCTCCAATGACTGCATTTTTAAAGGCATTACTAGCTCCACTTCTGATTGCGAGCACTCCTCCAGTGACAAATCCTGCTACACATGCATTGAGAGGATCGTCTTTTTGTCTGAGCCAGATCATCAAGCAATCACAGGATGAGAAGCATCCGCCCCACATTGCGAATGAGCCTAGAAGGATTAGTTAGAAGATTTGGATATTTAATATCAAAATTTGACTAGTTTTATGTGTATTTACCTCCCATAAAAGGCGCACGATTCCTAATGTGGGCCAATCCTCCTCTGATTTTCATCCTCCTTGGAGAGTTCCATGCTCCTGTAGAAGTGAGTTAGTTGATATTAAAAAATGAAATAAATTTGAGAAGTCTTTTGACTGCTATTTCTTGTCTTTATACATCTTGGATTTATAGATTCCAAGTGACAAATGAGCTCACTACAATATTTTAGGTGATTCATCGAACAAGTAAGCATCAAACATTACAATTTATTGAAGCTAGCTATTTTCTCTACTTATAGTTGAAGAAAGAGATGTACCTTTGAAGAAGTAGATGAGGGAACCTCCAAATCATCCAAGACTGAATCCAACCCCGAGATCTTCGAAGATTCTTCCTGGGCATGGGGATCTATGATATGCTACTGAACTCATTTATTATTAATGGCCTCAATTTAATATATTCTTAAAGGGGTTTTGGGGTTTTGGGGTTTTGGGGTTTTGGGG